TGGCTCTTAAAGTACCGTGAAGTGGGGCTGGAATCTGGTGGTTGGACTGGAAGAGTGAACGTAAAATCCTTATTTTTCGTGTTATTGCAGCTATTTATCTATCCAGAAGACAGATTAACACGGCACCCGCCGTCTGGTGGCACTTGCAGTGGCCGAAACTTTTCGGTTTTACTGAAGTTGCAACCCAGACCATCCTTGTCCCCGCTCTGGAGGTTGCGGGCGGGCATGTTTAAGCCTTTTGATGTAATTTGTTTCAATAATGCATGCTGAAAAATGAGCGTTCTCAGGCAAACACGGCATGATCTTGCTCGTTTCTTTAAGCTCATTTCGATCCACCCTATTCATTAATGATAATACCCCCACTCTACTCAACAATAATGATACCTCTTATTTCCTTCCTGGCAAGGGGCCTCTTGAGTAGAACACTAGGGGTACATTACCGTTTCCGGTCAAGGGCTAAATGGTCATTCCATCCCAACGCGGAGTGTGTTCTGGCTATCATTCTGTTGGCACGGGGCGGGATCTCCTGGTCGATCCGGAGGCCATTAGAAGGATATATCATATCACATTGTTCCCATCCCTGACACGGGAGGCCTCCTGACCCACGCAGTTAGCCCCGGATCAGCACAAGAACCCTCATTGACGCAACAACATCCCTGATCACCGCAGGTAGTCCGATAGTTGTTGCATAGACCCCAGTTCCGTGTTGTTCTTCAGAGACGTCGAGTTCTCCCCGACTGTAGATTGTGGATGAAATGGGGTTAATTTTTAAAATTGTATTAGCATGGCTAACCCATTTTCGTCTTAAAATGCTCAAGATCCTGCTGTCAGAGTTGATCACTGATAAGAAAACTACGTGATATGGTGTTGAACACGCGCGCTCGCAAGTCATGGCAATAACAGCCTCGACGCTCGGCATTGCAGTCTCCAGGCCGTGCGGCGTCGGCCTTGCAGCTGTAACGCCAAGCGATGGCTAACGGCCAAACGAAAAAGATGACTCATCTTAAGGGAGATGGCTGGAAGACTAGGTAAATCGGCATGCGTGTTTAATGTAGTGCAAAAATAAGCCAAATGCAACCCCTATCGGAAAAGTGAGGGAGTTAACATTGCTGCTCGCCCCCACCTTGAAAAGTGGGGAGGGGGGGGGGGGCATGGCCCCTGGCTCCCCTGTCTCTACGCCCATTATTTCTAAGTACTTCCGACTAGAGTTCTTTGGAGTAAATCACTGGTGAATGGGTTACCCCATCTCTCTGTTGGGGACAGGTTGAAAGCGCATTTCAGCAATAATTTTGTGGTTCTGGTGCCAACCAACGCCATTTCCCAGCTGAAAATTATTTATTGAAGGTGCTAAATTGAAAACAATTCGGTTTATGGGTATATTTATATTTAAACCAGCCCGCGAAGGAAAGGGTTTTCGCGCCTTTGTAACTTGGTGCCATATACTTAAGTCTCAATATGACGCCACAGCGTCGCCTACCCAGAATGCAGTAATGCGGGGCTTGCCTGGTATCTCGGTTTTTGTGAAGGGACTAAACGGCCGACCAAACCTGTTGGCAGCCCTATTCTCCGAGCCTATCCCAGCCAGCATGTCCAATTGGGACCCATATGGGTCCCAGTTGGACAGTCATATGGGGCCCACCTGGGCTGCCCACTTTGGTCCCATGTGGGCATGCCATGGGCTAACACCTGGTACCCATATGGGTGACCCTTGTTGGGCCCATGTGGGGCCTAACTGGGACACACATGGGGCCCATCCAACGTTTACAATGGTGACCCATGTGTGTCCGAGATGTGCAAACGAATAGGGCCCATCTGGGCTTGCTACCTCGGGCCAATGCGAACATGTCATGGGCAACCAACTGGGTCCCACATGGAGGCCATGTGGGGCCCTTGTGGGGCTTAGCTGTGACACACATGTGACCCACCTGGGCAGCCCAGTTGAGACCCGCCTGGATAACTCAGTTGGGACCCACATGGGCCAGTCCAGCTGGGACCCATGTAACCAGCCCCGATGGGACCCATATAGCCAGCCGAGATGGGGCATTTTTAACCACCCCAGTGGGCCCCAGCTGGGTCTCATCGATCTGCGATTTCAAATTCCATCTGGTTGATCGACCGCCGTAATTCCAGGCAGACTGCTTCATGTCATCGATAATAAGCCAGGTCAAAGTTTATGCACCATGTATTTGAGCGAAATCGCCTCGACAACAGCACCCTTACGCAAAACATACACTACCCTGTTATCATGCCCGATGCGACAATCACTAAACCACCAGCCGGCCCGCTGGCCGGCACCTCCGCACCACCTTCAGGGGCGCGGAGGTGCCGGTCAGCGAACCCCCACTGCTGAGATCGCCACTGCTGACATCCCAGCGGGCGACCGGCCAGGAGACACCCGGGAGCTCCAAACGCGAGCAATGATCCATCAACCATTGGGACGTAAAAAGAGTGCTCGTTACATGCCCTCAGCGCACAGACTTCCAGCATAGAACACACCAACTGCCTAAAGTGACATGACAGTGAATCGATCAATGTTGACGTGAGCTAAGTTCGCCCACGCGCAGTCCGTGCGAATGAGATCTATGCCAGCAGTCCCTCTTATTGGTACGTGGCATGGTAAAACGGACCAGGGAGCACACGGTACGAAAATTATTACGCACGTAGTCAATGTGATAGCATGTGGGCAGCCAATCTGGGTCCCAGATGGGGCCCAGGCATCAGCCCGCTTGCATCCCATGCTGGCATATGGCCAGCTTGCCCACCTGCTGAGATCCCAGCGGGCGATCTGAGATCTGATCTGAGTATATGCCGCTCACCCTTGTTGCAGACTAGCTTGTGCGCAATCAGAAAATATCCAACCATGGAGAGCGAAGTCCGAAAACCAATGCATTGGTATAAAAGATGTCAGCATATGGGCAGCCCATCTGGGTCCGACATAAACCCCGTAGACTAGCCCACCTGCAGCCCATGTTGACATGACCCCGACTCGCCCACATGCATCCCCTACGAACCCCAACCCGTACTGCTCTCCTTTGTTTTGTACTCGTTTGTACACGATAAGGAAAAATACAGCGTAGGAGTACAAGATAGCAGACCTTATGCACCTGTACCAAATATGGTAGCGTATGGGCAGCCCATCTGGGTCCCAGATGGAGCCCAAATATTAACCCACCCGCACCTTACATGGACGGGAACATGGAGGTGGCACATGTAAAATAACTGTACACGATATGGTAAAACCTTTAAACAACAAATACAATTAATATACACATAATTGTGTATATGACACTTTATTGCAAGTGTAACATATGGGCAGCCCATCTGGGTCCAGCATGAACCCCAAAAACGAGCCCATCTGTGGTCCATGTTGACATGAGCCCAACTTACCCACCTAGATCCCAGATGATACCCAACCCGTGTGCTCTCGTTTGTTATGTACTCATTTGTACATGATAAGGAAAAATCCAATGCGGGAGCACAAGGAAACAAGCCTAATGCACCTGCACCAGACACAGTAGCGTATGGGCAACCCATCTGGGTGCCAGGTGGAGCCCATATACCAGCCCGCCTGCGACCTACATGGACATGAGCCCAGCTAGCCAGCGCTCAGCCCATGTGGATCCCAGTCCAGGCAGCAGTCCCATATTTTACAATAATAGTACACGATATGGTAAACCCAGACAATAAAAACGATTGATATACACATCAATATTGTGTGTGTGGCAACTTGGTTGCGCATGTAACATATGGGCAGCCCAACTGGGACCCAGATTAAGCCTAGATACCAGCCCACCGGCAACCAAGCTGACATGGGCCCAGCTTGCCCACATATGGCCCACGTAGATCCCACCAATGCAAGCATTCGCTCCTGGCGAGCTATGTTTTCTTGACGCGATAAATTCTGACGGAACGGTACAAGGCACTAACGGTTTTGGGGCATACACAAATATGAAACGATGTGGGTGTCCCATGTGGGACCCAGCTGGAGCCCAGTTGAAGGCCAGCCTGTAGCCCATGCCCATATTAACCCAGTTGCCCCACTTTTAGCCCATGTGGGTCCCAGTTGGGAATGCTGGCTGGGTATGACACCGATTGACATGGAATCTTCACCAATTGGTGCGACTTAGTCAATATCCCTGCTCTTCCAGAACATGGTGACCTTGGGTCAAGTCAAAGTTCACCAAAAATAAAAAAAGGAAAAATGGTTTTGCAGATAACCACATGCTCCGAGCCTATGACAGATCACCAGAAAACCTGCAGTAATCGATGTGCTATAATCGATGTCCTATCCTTTCCAGAGTATGATGGTCTTGGGTCAGGTTAAATGTCACGACAAATAAAAGAATAGGAAAATAAGTTTGCAGGCAACCCCATGCTCCAAGTTTATGGCACCCATCGCCATGAAACCTCCACCAATCGATGCATCATAGTTGATATCATATCCTCTTCAAACCATGTTGACCTTGAGTCGGGTCAAAAGTCACCAAAATGGCAAAAACACCAAAATTGGTTGCAGACAACCACATGCTCCGAGTCTGTAGCGCCGATCACCATGGAACATTCACTAATGGGTGCGCCATATCGACTTTGACGCATATCTGCCAACCTATTTTCTGCTTTTATTTTTTATTTTAGTGACCTTTGACATGACCCAAAGCCACCATATTCTGCAAGGAAAGCTTATCAAGCAAGTGGAATCGAGTGACAAAGGTTTCATGTCAATCAATGGCATAATCTCGGAGCATGGGGTTGTCTGCATCCATATTTGGTGGTGTGGGCCGTTTTTGTGACCTTTGACCTAATTCAAGGTCACCATAATCTGGAACGGATCGGTTATTAACGAAACGGCATTGAATGGTTAAGGTTTCATGTCGATCGGTACCACCGGTTCGGAGCATGGACCCGTCAACAGCTTTGGTTCTGCCGCTTGGTCCCAGGGTAACGTTTAGTCCTAATGCTCTGCATTTAGTCCCTCTTCGTTTTCGGGCCGAATTGTTTAGTATCATCTGTTTGCGTCTAGGGGGCAGTGCGGCGTGGGTCGTCGCCTCGAGGTTTCTGCTTGAGCCAACTGCCGTGAAGACAGTATATTCGTGGTTATCACATACATTTCTTGTTGTGGTGCCTAGATATACTTGCATTTTCTTCCAGCCGCGGCATAGTCCGTCCATCGTGGATGGAAGATTCCGGTAGGTGTGGCGCGGGCGCGGCGAAATGCGTTGGTAAAAGATGGCCGCTGTCTGCATTGCATGCTTGTGGTTGTGAATTGTGAAGTGGTTGTGTTGTGGTTGCCGACGTCAGCTATTTTTTTAAAGCTCAGAATATCAAGATTGAGGTTAGATGATTTCATGCCTCACGTTGTTCTCAGCCAGATGAAATATGTTCACCTGAATGGTGTCGATTGGAATTGATCTCCCCTCAGAATGGCAGCTCATGATGCATTAGGGCGGGTGTTGATCCGTGGCAGGCACATTCCTGGTGAATCTGTTTTTAAACTGCACTGTGGGACCAATATGTAGCAGCAGTATGCAGCTAATGTCACACATAATCTCAGTGACTTCAAAAACAGGTGGAAATCAGCAGTTTGTAATTATGCATGCTTATGGCCTTCTAAGCATGATGAAAAGCTTTGTTCCACCATTTTAGCTTATGTGATGCCCACAAATATTGAGCATACTACAACAATGCACCAGATACACCAGTAGTCAATCTGGTGACTTTTTAACTGAACTGGCATTTTTCACATTGTGACATATTTGATGATTTGAAATGCTGCAACATTGGTACCAAGTAAAAGTATTGCAAATGATAGATGGTAATCTGGTGAATTTTTGGGTCCATTTCTAACAATAGGAGTTGTTAGTAGTTGATAAATGCAAATTAGATTGTCTGGAAAGCCTTGAGAAGCTGCCACTTTCCCTCTGCTGGTCATCAAATCATCTGCATCTGCTTGCAGCAGAGAAGTGGCATCCTCCTATGGGGCAGGATTAAACTTGACCAAAATTTGTTTGCTGACTGATCTTGCCAGCTGTTGCAGGCTGGCACCCATGTACCCACCTACCTACCAGCTACCCATGCATGAGCAGTGGAAGGCCAACCACTGACCTCCCTGCCTAACAAAAAAAAATTATCATTGAGCTACCAACAGCACTTGGTAGCTCAACAAAGACAGCTGGAAACACTTGCTAGGTTAACGAGAGCAGGGATGGATAATCGACCATTCGCTGATCATCTTTTCACCCCAGTTATATGGATGTCCTGTTAAGCATCTGGGCAGGCAATCAATGATCAGCATCAAAATGGCTGCTGCCCTTGATGCATCAAGATGGTGTAACTAGTTCAGAAATAGTAACTGATTAACATTGCACATAGCTACCTAGCTACCATGACAAACATAGATAATATTTTTGCTAAACTTCTTAGTTGTGTCACAAATTGTTTGAAAGATGTGACATTGACCACATGCCTGTTACACCCTCATTGTAATATTTGTTAAAGCCCTGGTGATACACATTCCCTGTGTTTTAATTATTGACTTCATGCTTTAAAGAACATAATTTTTGCAGAGTTAGCCCTGGCTAAGTGAGGCAAAATTTTTAGCCTGGTCTCTTTCAAACAGCAATTGTAATAATGTTACCTGACAGCATGTGAGACATCAGTCATATAAGATTGGTGTATCAAGGCCAGATATTTTAAAATATGTTAGTTACTGGTTGTCAGTTGTCATTGAAAGCAGGTGAATGCTTTGGTTTTAATGGCACATAACTGATAATTGTGTCTTAGATATAGGTAATGTTTTATATTCAGACACATCTGTCATTAACTTTAAAAAGGGCATCTCCTCTGCATTTTTCCTTTGTTGCACAAACATTTTTTCATGCCTGATCTTCAAATATTTTGATGTGTTTGATGCTAGATACCAGTGATAAGGATTGCTGAAATAATTGTTTTCAGTTGCCACAAAATGGGCAGCTTTTTTGATGATTGCAATGATTTTGAGCCTGAAATAAATTAGTGCTGAAACAGTATTTCCACAAAATCAGCAGCTTTGTTTATACTTACACCATTTTTGAACTATTGTATTTTACAACTCAGATTTTCAACTGTCCATGAACCTGCTGGGACATAGAGTACAATATAGAATTTGGGACCAAATGGGTTTTTGCTCAACATTTGAGCATTTCCTGAGTTAGATCCAATGCATAATTTTTTTATGTTAATACTGAGTTGTAACATGTTTTTTGTTGTAGCCTAAACCACTTTTGCATACAAATTACAGTCAGAACACATGTCAGTTGTAATAAGGTGTTGACCAGCATTGTGGCAGTGTGCAGCACAACTGTCAGATGTAGTCATCTGTTGACTGATGCAGTGACAGTGGGCAGCCCACCTGCCAGTTGTAGTAATGTGTCAGCTTGCATTGTGACAGTAAACAGCATGCCTGTCAGATGTAGTGATGTGTTGACCAGTGTTGTAGGAGTGAGCAGTGCACTTGTCAGATGCAGTGATGTGTCAGTCAGTATCGCGAAAGCGAGCAGCACAGCTGTCAGGTGCGGTAACGTGTTGGCCCATGTTGCGGCAGGCTGACTTCTGCTGATCGGCGGGCCCTGAGCAGAGGTTGCCGCGATGTCGGCCGCCGACCAGATGCGCGCCATGCTGGACCAGCTGATGGGCACCAGCCGCGATGGTGAGTCCGCCCCCGGCACAGCCGGCAGTCGGGCCATGGCCTGGCCAGGAGCGCAAACAATAGCCTACATGCCGCAGCCACCAGGCCTCCCAGGCTCAGCGATCCAGACCAGAGACTCGTTTAGAGGTCTTCATCACACATTTAGTTGAAACAATGTGTCATTGGCTTTCTGGAGAATCCAGTCAAGAAATGCACTACTTGGAAATCAGGTTACAATTGCTGACGCATCATAGTGTGTCTGGTATCGTCTTGGGATGTGTTGTTTTCCCTCCTGTGCCATCGCCCTGTGGCTGGTGATGGCTGCTGCTGCTTTCTGGTTTGCAAGTTAACGTCGGATCAGGAAGCCATTCTGTAAATTTGCTTCAATGCTATGGCTTTTCTTTGGATTTAGATCTACACTTTGTATGATATGTTTTGTCAGGCTGGGATCATGGTTCTTATTCACTCAAGTTGGCCTGGTACAAACAGGACGGAAAGTGCGTGACATTTTATGCTGAGATTTCATTGCATCTCACTTCCAAAAATGTCTGGGCATCAAGTGATATGTAGAAGTGCAGTTCCCAGAATAAGTGTTACCTCTTTGTCTGTGTTGCGATTCGGATGCTAACTCTGAGAGTAAGTAGCCTATGTTTTCTTCTAGGGTGTGGCCAGCTAAAAATGCGTGTATCCCGCCACCAGATGTCAGCAGTCACGTGTGTATTCCAATAGCCCAGCCAGTCAACTGTTGCACAGTATTTCGTCATTGCTGTTCATTCATGACTTGTCTAACATTGACTGCCAATGCCTAGTTCTCATCCTGCTGCCAAGACCAATAGTGTCGCTCATTTAAAACCTCAGTGCCAGTCTTGATCAGTAAAAGACGGGAAATATGCCGTTCCCGGTCGCCCGGAACAATCCAGACTTTGTTCATAGCTGTATCAGTCTTATCTTCTCCGCTTCACCCGTGTGACTCATGATAGAGTGCATCACAATAATATATGCGTCACTATATGTAGATAATCGTCGGTGTCGGGAACGTAGTGCGCACCTTTTTTGCTCTCGTGATACCAGCCTTCGAAAAGATTTGCTTGTGCTTGTCCGAAACAAACGACGTTTCTAAATGTCACGTGTCTGTCCCGTTTGTCATTTCAGTCACGAGAACTTCAGTTCACTTTGGACAGTCTTGTTTAAGTTCATTGAGCAGACGTGGGGTCGGGGTTGGTTGGGAACGAGTCGGAACGCCGCGGGATAGGCCGCCTGTGGCCTGGTGAGTGTGAATTGGTGGTTCCTCCGAGGTAAGGGAGGCGTGTGTCGTCGAAGGCACCCCGCAGGCGGCCAACACCACACCGGCGGCGGCCGCGCTAACGTACTTGCAGAAGGCGGCGGCAGGCGGATCTGGTTTGGCTCCCGGGCCGACCGCGCGTCTTTGTGAGTCGGAGCCGCCGGCCGGGCGGTTGCCATGGTGACACAACCGCCCGCGTCCGTTGCCTGTCCTGACTCGCGCTGGTGTTGTTTCAACTGGGCTGTCGGGTGGCTGTCCCCTCTCCCCCCCACCCCCCTGATAACGCCTATCGGGCGATGGGTTTCGCTTTTTCAAAGGATGGATTCTCTGGAACAGGGGTATCGAAATCATTTACAGCGTCCGATAACGATTGTAGGCGCAACACACCAACTTGGATGTGAAGAAAACTGTCGACTTGGTGGTAATTAATTTTTTTCTTGGCGTATTAGCTTAATTTACTGTTGTCTGTATCAAACGCGTGGTACTACATATATATATATATATATATATATATATATATATATATATATATATATATAATTCTCGGCCGGAATCGGACAGAGAGTAAAGTTTGTCTTCCTTGTCATACTGTAACATTTGGACGTGATTCCATAGAGGCTGTGTGATGCGCAATTGGACTGCACAGCGAGGCCTTTGGCTCATCCGATCGGACGTGCGTGTATGCAGTGGGCTGACGTATTGGTCTCAGGGCCTTACTGCTCCTGTAGTGGGCGGACATGAGCAGTGACCTACTGGTAGCCTCTTCCTCGTTCAAGGTCAAAAATTCCGCTAGGGGTGATAAAATATCTGCTGTCCAATATGACTAGACCTTTTCCCAAATGTAGTGTGTTTGCTTCCATTTAATCCCCAAAACGGCATCTGTTGTGGTTACTTTTCAATTCCATGCCATCGGTCGAAAAAATTCATTTTTTTGGTAAAGAAAATCAATTAAAAAACCCTGCTGGAGGGGGGAATTTGACGTCTGCTGTGAATGAGGTCCTCGTTAATGCAGAGGTAGGAGTATCACCAAGGGGTGTGTGTGGGTGTGTGTGTTTTGTGCGTGGGTGTGTGTATATGGGTGTGTGTGTGGGGTATGTGTGGTGTGCGGTGTTTTCGGCGCCCCGTCGTGCACGCGATGTGTGGCGCCGCCGGCGGGGCGTGATGGAGGGCGGTCGCGCCGGTGACGGCGGAGTAGCGCCGCTCGCCGCCTGGGCCGCCGGCCGCTCGGCCCCGGTGTCCCGCTGAGGCGGCGCTGTCGGCGGCCGCGGCGCGCGCCGGGGTCGGGGTGGGGTGCGAGCCGGCCGGCGGACCCCCCGAGCCGGCGGGGCGGCGCGCGGCGGGCTCCCTGCGCGGCGGGAGGGGGGTGGCGGGCCTGGGCGGCGCGTCGCGCAGCCGGCCGCTCACTCTCTCCACGTCTTGCAGGCGAGTCCAAGCTGAGCGTCAAGTTCACCGACCCCAAGGTGTGCAAGAGCCACCTGCTGAGCTGCTGCCCCAACGAGATCCTCGCGTCCACGGTGTGTAGCGCGCGGGCTTGCCGCATGACGGGGGCAATGGCTGGCGTACAAATGTGGCATAAACGCTTCAAGGATTTTCGAAACCGTTTCTGATGTTTCCTCTAATGCGGCATGCGCTCAGTTAAGTTTTGCAGTCGGTGAATGTGTTCAGTTACATTGCTGATGCTGGTGCCAGGATCGAGGCGTCCTATTGCGGATAGTGTCGGTTTCGTGTCGTGACATATGTAGGTTGGTTTGCTATGTTTGATGGCGGGTGGGGTATGTTTGTGCCTGTTGGACTGGCACTCTGTGGCGCGTTATGAGCGTGACTGTGTCTGCCTCTGCTGTCGCCGCGTCAGCAACCTCACTTGCTGCGTTGCAGAGGATGGACCTGGGCACCTGCGCCAAGATCCACGACCTGGCTCTACGCGCCGACTACGAGGCCGCCATCAAGGAGAAAGACTACTTCTACGACATCGATGTCAGTGGAACCCCTCCAACCTGCGTCTACTGTGTGCCGACCCCGTATCTCGACGGCAGGAAGAGAACGGTCACTAGCATGACTCATCACTCCAACGCAATTTATCATCTGAAAGTTGTGGATCCTTCGAACGAAATCTGGGCTGAGATATATGTAGTGCTTCTTTCAGCGTAAATACACGTCTGACGCAAAATGGGAGCTGCAGGATTGCATGATCGAAAGGTTCTCCCTTCCCCCAAAAACTGACTTACCAGCTATGTGTGAAAACGCGTGACTATCCGGCACGGCGGATGCGTTCGGCCAGATGCGACTCTGGGTTGTGTGAATCACGCTGTGCTGTGCTGTGCGGATCATGCTGCTCTGCACCGTATGGATCACGCCGCCCCTGTGCTGCGTGGATCACGCTGTCCTGTGCTGTGTGGACCACGCTGTCCTGCGCTGTGTGGATCACGCTGCCCCTGTGCTGTGTGGATCACGCTGCCCCTGTGCTGCGTGGATCACGCTGTCCTGCGCCATATGGATCACTCCGCCCCTGTGCTGTGTGGGTCACGCCGCCCCTGTGCTGCGTGGATCACGATGTCCTGCGCTCTGTGGATCACGCTGCCCTGTGCTGTGTGGATCACGCTGCCCCTGTGCTGTGTGGATCACACTCCTGCGTTGTATGGATCACGTGAGCTGCCCGGTGGCTTGCTTATTCATCCTACCCGTTAACTGTTGTCCCGTACCGGCCTTCACGTTTACCCATTTTTGGCAGGCGATGGAGCATCTGCAAACGTTTATCCACGACTGCGACCGCAAGACGGAGCTGGCTAAGCGACGGCTGGCCGAGACGCAGGACGAGCTGTCGGCCGAGGTGGCCGCCAAGGCCAACAAGGTGATGGTCGGGCCGTTCGGCTGTCGGGAGGGGAGGGGAGGCGCCCGTCACTGTGGGGCGCTCTGGTGCTGAGAGGGTGGCGTCAGGTGCCGGCTTCGGGAGGGGAGGGAGGCACCCGTCACTGTGGGGCGCTCTGGTGCTGAGAGGGTGGCGCCAGGTGCCGGCTTCGGGAGGGGAGGGAGGCACCCGTCACTGTGGGGCGCTCTGGTGCTGAGGGGGTGGCGCCAGGTGCCGGCTTCGGGAGGGGTGCTGAAGAGGGAAGGGGAGGCACCCGTCACCCAGAGACGCTCTGGTGGCCGGCGCCGGGTGCCGACTGAGCCCGCCGACCGTAATAAGTGTTTAACCAGACGTGTCCATGGGATGGCTCCTTCCGACCACATCAAATATCCTCTGTAAGGGCTCTGGCAGAATGAAATGTCTTTGAAGGCTTCTGTAGCCGGTGACTTTTAGGAAGTCTCGGTCGATGGTGCTTGAGTTGTTAATTGAGTAGGTATTTGCGCTGGAAGCAGCGGTCGCGGGCAACAGCCCAAGCAATCCGTTGCCTTTATTGTTTTTGGCGCCATTTGTATTTTGGAGGACAGTATTGCTAATTGTTCCGTTGTAAGTATGACCAGTTTCTGTGTGCTGCGGGACTCGGCTCCTGCGTTCTCCGTTCGACTTGTGTTGGTGTTCTCCACCATGTGTGGGTGGAGGCCTCGAGAACACGGCAGTGGCCGGTGTTTCGAGGGAGGCTAAGCCGACCACTGCCGCCCGTGTTTGGGACAGGTGCACGAGCTGGCTGAGCAGATTGGCAAGAAGCTGGCGCGCGCTGAAGAGCTGGGCGCGGACGGCCTCGTCGAGGAGAGCATGAAGCTCATGGAGGAAGTACGGCCACGGACGGCTGGGCAATCGCGCTGCCAACGCTGCCGGCAGGCTCATGGGCGATGCGCTGTCGTCTATGTCTGCCACTGCTCTAGAGATCATTAGACATGTGGAGTTTGCGTCATCCCTACCTTGCCAAGCGGTCACCGTGAGCCCGTGCCACAATGGATAGAATGCGGGCAAAACTGGTCCGCTCGCAACTCTGCCCTGCGCATTGTTCTCCCCTGGATCCCAACATAGTGGACCCGAGCGTTGTCCCTGTTCATTCAATGTTGTCCCAATTACCTCATAACCTCCGATACCAGAATTGTAGTCGCAACGCGACATTATGTGTCGCGTGGGGGGGGGGGGGGGTAGTCAAACGTTACGCCTGTCCCCTCCGTCTTGTGACCTGACCCGTCGGTGACTAGGGCCTCGTCGCCACCAGGTGGAAGATATCCGCAAACAGAAGGCCGTGGCCGAGCAGGAGTACCGTAACTCGATGCCAGCCAGCAGCTACCAGCAGCAGAAGCTGCGCGTCTGCGAGGTGTGCTCGGCCTACCTCGGCATCCACGACAACGACCGTCGGCTGGCCGACCACTTCGGCGGCAAGCTGCACCTGGGCTTCATCAAGATCAGGGAGAACCTGGCCGAGCTGCGGGTGAGTCGGTCGAGATCACTGCCCGGCGAGTGAAGCCCTGCTGCCGGTCATCGGCCTCAACCGGCGGTGCGTCCACCGCCGTATTTTACCGGGCCGTGGTTTGTCCACGCTCTGGAGGACGCTTGCATGCTGGCGCGGAAGTCGTTGCACGTGCGCGGTGAGCAGCGGTGCGTTGTGTGCGCCGGCCGGTGGTCCGAGTCCCTGACGTGAGCGCTGGCCCTCCTCTGTCCCGCAGAAGTCGGTGGAGGAGCGGCGCGAGCAGCGGCGCAAGGCGCGCGAGGCCGAGCTGGACGAGCGGCGCCGCGGCTCGCGCGACCGCGAGCGAAGCCGCTCGCGCGACCGACGCCGCCCGCAGCCGCAGCCGCGACCGCGACCGCGACCGCGACCGCGACCGTGAGCGGGACCGTGAGCGGGACCGGGACCGTGACCGTGACCGGCATCGGCGACGCTCGCGTAGCCGCAGCCGCGACCGTCAGCGCAGGTGAGCGCGCTGCTTTGGCCGGGCCCGGCGGATGGGAGGGTACGGGTCGGGTCAGTACCAGAGGAGTGTGTGCCCCTGTCGGTGGTCAGTGGTCAGTCCCAGGAGTGGTCAGTCCCTGTGTGACTGCAGAGGCGAATCTCACGTGCACGAGTGGCCAAAGTGAAGCATCAAGAAGTGTCTTGAAGTCACCGGGCAAGTTCTGTCTAAATTGTTTTGTAGACTTCGCAGAATTCAAAGATCATCGGTGTGGATCAGTTAAAGGATGGGGATTATGAAAGTACCAGTTGTAGGTGAGCGGCTTCCCCGCGGCCGCAAGCATTGTCGCGCATTCTGCCTACGCCTGTACCCAAGGAGCCGTGCTGCCGTACGTACGCGGAGCGGGAGGGAGTCGGTCGTCAGGTCCACCGGGTGGCGGCGGATGAAGGTGGCGACCCCTCGGTGCCGACCCGTCAGCGCCGGGGGAGGGGGACCTGACTGAGGGCGAAGCCGGACTGACCCGACCGCCGATCCGTCGGCAGCTCACGGCACCGGGACCGCTCCAGCGAGCGGCGCCGGGACCGCGACAGGTCCCGGGAGCGGCGCCGCGCCAGGGAGCGCCGCGACAGCCGCGATCGGGACGCCGACGGCCGCGACAGGAGGCCCGACGACGACAGGTGCGTGACCTCCGGCGGCGCGCCGCTGGCAGCGGCCTGATGCAGGCTGGTCGGCGCGGGTCTGCGTCGCCCGACAACGGGACACATGTTTTCGGGGTCACAATCTGGACGTCCTAGCTGGCCGGGATTTATCAATGTACTGAGTCAGTCCCATGATGTGGTGGGACGGTGGCGCAGGCATAGCGGTCGAGCGGCAGCCGGCGCGCCCTGCGTCGGTGGACGCTGGCGAGGAGGGGGAGAAGCGCGTGCCTGTGCGTTAACGACGTTCGTGCCGGCAGACGCTCGGCGGGTGAGGCGAACGGCCGCGGCGACTCCGCCAGCCGGGACAGCGGCGACCACTAGCGGACGGCGGCGGCGGCGGCGGCAGCGGCAGCGGTCCCACTCCGGCCGGCTGGCAGACCGAGGCGCGCCCGCGCGCCGGCCGGGCACCGTCCGGCCAGCGGGCACAGCAGCCCGCGGCGCAGCACCGTCCGCGCGCCGGCGTGATGTCAGCGTGTCCGCCTGTGGAACTCCGCCGTGCCCCGTGCGCGGTCGCGCCTGTGAGCAGCAGCCGATCCGTGTCGGTCAGTGTGATGACGCGAAGCGTCGTTGCCTCATTCCCCGTGGCGCCGGTCATCCCCATCAGTGCAGTCTGTGACGTTATCTTGGTCGTAGGCTGGACGCTGCTTGTGCCGTCTGTCTCCCCGTGGTACGGCGGCGGTTATGTTTTACACTTGGCGTCACGTGACTGGCGCTGCACCTGCTGCCACGGCCAACGGCCTGGTGGAAAGCCGACCGTATGGTGACTGCCAGGCGTTCTGGGGGTCCGCGCCTGCTTGTGTGCCGTGCTGTCAATCTTCATATTCGTGTCGGTGCATGCTCTTAGTATCCCAGGGTGTACAATAAATGAGCACAGCACACTGGTAAGTTATATGAGGGTTTCGTGACGGTATCATCAAGGCATCCGGAACCGGTTGGGACGCGTATCATCGCGGCATCCGGACCGGTCGGGACGCGTATCATCTCTGCATCCGGACCGGTCGTGACGCGTATCATCTCTGCATCCGGACCGGGTCGGGAGACGGCCTATCATCTCGGCATCGGTGGTCGATCGGGACGCGTATCATCTCGGCACCTGTACTATCGGACACGTTCACTCGGCATCCGGACCGTTCGGGATGCAGAGCTCCTCAGCACATAGGGTCTCTGATTCGTCGACTCTCACGGGCTAGGGGGAGGGTGGCAAGCGGAAACGCGGCGGCCCGTTCGTCATGGACCGGCACGGGCCCACTGAGCCCTCGTCCGCAGTGCTCACGGGCGTTGCGCGCTCGTTGCATGGCGGAGAAAGTGCTCATGTCCCCACAATGGGAAGCCAGCAGTCCCTCTGATTGCAGCCTTGATACATTAATGGCCGCACCATTGGCGGCGGCCACACTCGCCGGTTTGGACGTCGTCTCACCGATGGCACTGGAGGGCAACCCGTCTGGCGGCACACGGAAGGCAAATCGTCGCCACGCAAACGGCGAAAACTGGTGGCAAGCATTTCTGACTCGTCGCTGAGTCACCAGCAGCATTACCAGCGCCCGGCCTCGCTCCCACGGCGCCTTGGGCAGGGGTAACGGCTTGCTGTTGCAACCGGCCGTGGCAACAGCTGGCAGCTGAGGGGCGCCATGCCCGAAGCATGGGTAAAAATGTCGACTTACAGTTAAATATTTTATCGTTATACCAATTGAAATATTTTGCATGATATTCAGGTGGTGTGATTGACAGCCTTACCGCCATCTATCACCGAGTTTTCAATCACGCGACCGCAACCTACTGCCATCTGTCACTGAGTTTCAAATCATGCGCAGCATGTCGGAGCACAACTAACCGCATGACCGCCACCATCAGGAATGTGAGGATGGTGCTTATTTCGAATGGTTGTATATATATATATATATATTATATATATATATATATATATATATATATATATATAAAACACAGGTTTTAAAGATATGTGACACACACACACACCACACACACACCCACACAACACACACACACACACAACACACACACACACACACACACACACACACCCCACACAACACACACACACACACACACCACACACACACACCACAGCACACACACACACACACACACACACACACACACAACACACACACACCCACAACACACACACCCACACACACACACACACACACACAACACAACACACACACACACACACACACACACACACACACCACACACACCCACACACACACACACACACACACACACACACACAAACACTCACACACACACACAACACCACACACACACACACAACACACACACAACACACACAACACCCACACACACCCACACACACACAACACACACAACCACACAACACACACACCCACAACACACGCACACACACACACACACACACACAACACCACACACACCCACACACACACACACAACACACACACAAACACACACCACCACACACACACACACACAACACACACACACACACACACACACACAACACACCACACCACACTACACACACCACCACACACACACACACAACACACACACACACACACACACACACACCCACAACACTCTCTCTCTCTCTCTCTCTCTGATCTCTCTCTCCTCTCCTCACATCTCTCTCTCTCTCTCTCTCTTCTCTCCTCTTCTCTCTCTCTCTCTCTCCTCTCTCTCTCCTCCTCTCCTCTCTCACCTTTCTCCTCCCTCAGTCTCGTCTCCTCTTCCACTCTCCCTTCTCTCTCTCCCTCTCTCCTCCCCTCTCCTCTCTCTCTCTCTTTAGGTGGACTGGCGGGGGACAACCCCGGGACGGAGGCCTGACCCTCCGCAAGTGTCCGCAACTGTTACTGGAGGCCTCTTACTGCTCCTGCGCTGGCCGGGGCCCATGAAGCAAGGTGGTTCCTTCTATCAAGACACAGAGTGCTTTACAGGAAGGCCTGTGCCGGCAAGAGACTCCTAGTCGACCAGAGGCACAATTTTCTCTGAAAAGAAACAAGACGGGGCCCTGCATCTCGGAGGGTTACTTGCGTTGGTCAAGGTCTTCTTGCCTGCATGGAATGGAAATGCGGAATATTTCAGTTAGTGGTCCACAATGAGACGATAAAAGGGTCCAACCAGTCACAGACTCAAGGACTGAGCAAAGGCTCATCAGGATCCCCGAAATTTAAGTTATCTTGCTGATTTTTACGCCCTTCCACCCGTATTCGGCGGTTTTAGCCCTGATGTCTGGTCGGTGCGTCATACACGCCAGGATGGACTGGGAGACAACCAGTCACATAGGGTCGGGTGGCTGTGTCAGCAGTGATTTAGGCGTGCAAGAGACGCAAGAGAGTAGCTAAGTCAGCTTTAGCGTCATTATGGTGTAGGTCTTACCCCGCGACAACCTCGGCATGTCGGAGGTAAATCCTCGAAGATGCCATATGCCACTTACTGTGTTGAATCCATTGGGGCCGACATAATGGCAAGGTGTGTTTCATATAAATCAGAGTAATAAGGCCAGGGTAATCAGGAGGGACAGCTGATTCTGACGGCCGGCAGGGGCTATGTAGTATGTTATGTATGTAGTATGTTAAAACTATGGGGCTGTGTAGTATGTAAAGGTAACAGTTTGATCAGATATCATGTGCTTATCCGCGATATTCACCAATGCAACAAACCAGAATCATATCAGGTGGACATAAACCAAACATCACAGCTCCAAAAAGTTGACTCAATGTCATATAACGTCAATCTGCAGCTGCTATGATGGCAACATATACAAATATTCATGGACAAGTAACACATGATACACAACACAGTGACCGATGATCATTCCAATGTAAACTTAAATTCCTCTAATTCTTATAGGATATTCTAATAAATAAAATTCTTAACTTAAATTCCATTGTAGCCTATCGACAGATATGAACCAGTCACAAACCGAGCACACTGGATCCCTTCAGTGGTTTAACACATCGAGAGCAGTATTAAGGTGCTGCACATTTCTTAATAAATGTGCCTCCCGTATGTTCATCCTAATTCAGAGAAGAGCCGACATTTCGATGAAAACGGAGCCACTAAACTTCCGAATGTTGGGACATTCGGAAGATGCGCTCTCATGTTAGGAGAGTATCTTTACTAACATTTCCGCGTTGTTGCCGATCTGAAGAGCTAAGCATTTCGCCATGTGACATCAGCACAGGACATGTGTACACAGCCTTTAAGTGGGTTATCTTGACCTATCTATCGATGACCACTATACAATAAAGACGAATCAAGGTGGATCAAAATCAACACGCGTTGTGGCTTGAATGGCGAAGGTGGAAACTTGCCGGGTCCATCATTTAAGGGTTGTCCATTCACAACCGGACCAAACCAGAAATTATTATATCTGTCCCCTATCAATAATACTGCACTGGCTACTAGTGGTATATTCACACGTTTGTCCAAAACCGGCCCGGGCCAAAAATTATTCTGTTTGTCCCCTATAAGTTATGTTGCACTGGCTGCTGACGACTTTCTCACGTTATTCGTATAACGCAACACTGAACTTCTTGATAGATTTCGCGCAGAAATTCCGGACGTGACATCCATTTCAGCATGTCATAACGTGACATCACGTCACTGGTAAGCACGTGATTAAGCTGGACACCTACGACAACCCGAGATGCAGTCACTATGATAAAATCTGCTCAACAATACCCGTGGTGATAAGACGACAAATTTTTTGTTGAAGCTCAGTTTTAGCACAACGCGACTCTGACAGATGTCTAGCGTTATGCTGAACATTATGAGTTTTGCTGAACCCAGTATATTGAACGTGTTACTAACCCACGTTATGGGTGAAATCCAAATGCATGCAAATGATGACTAAATTTGGGATGTGGTGGCTGAATGGAAACCTTTGATAAAGCAATGCCACAAGTCATTTGACTTCAATGTCAAGGTGCATCGGCCATTCAGGTTTTTGGAGCGGCGTTGTATGCAAGTCAAGGGAGGATTTTGAAGGAAATAACCATCTTCTCGATGTGGGCATGTTGTTGCGGATACGCCGAAAATACCATCTGGATAAGCTAATAACAAACTAGTCGGCGCACGAGGTCAAGACGACTAAGCATGCCGGGCTTCCATGTCGTGATGTTTGCCGACGCTAGTGGCTTTGCATAGACGAAAGGAGATTTTGGATCATCAGAGCAGGTTGATCATGCAGAACGGCTGATCTCGTTCAAGAGAGAGGGGCAGCCAGTCAGAGGAGCTCTCGTGATACAGGAACGGTGCCCATAAGACATTGTGGAGGGTGCGAGTCGGCGAAATCACCACAGGATCTCGCAAGGACGTTTGCGAAGTGTCCTTGTCCCTTTAAGGACAAGGACACTACCTGGGCGATTACTAAGGATGTGAGCCGCCCTGTATTGAAGGCAAAGGTTTTTGCTATACGCTATTCCCCTCAACCCAGGCGCACTTACGAAATGCCTGATCAAAACAGCAATCCACCCGACCGTG